GCAGGATATTTGCATCTTTAATGCTTGTCCTCTGTAAATCCAATGAGCAGCTTGTTTACACATGGAGATTATTATAATAAAGTCTTTAATTTTCCTACTAAACATATCTCTAGAAACTAGGCTCTTAGGGCACGTGTATTTTGAAACCTGAGAAGCTGCTGCAGTTTACCAGCAAAGCAGAAATAAATCCTGTAGAATATACACATGTCAGGAATGCACATAACAAATCCCAATCTGAAAGGAAAATATTTGTTCTGGTGAACAACACACACTTGAGTGGCACGAGTTCAGCAGCAATTCAAGTTGCATTTTTTGAATGGTACAAAAAACACCTTTTGATTGTTCTTTCATTTCATTATGTCAAATTCAGGGTGCACAGTCTACCTTTGCTTTCTGCCAGCTTTTTGTTCAGTGCATTAAAATGTAGCCATTTGTTGTAATTCTTTAGCCCAATGAAGTGTTAATGTCACACTTGGATATCCATGATGAAAAGAAGCAAAAGGAAGAAGTTTAACTGGTACAAATGAGCAATAAAAACTGCTGGAGGTCTTTGCTGAAGACACAGATTGCTTCCAAAATCCTTGCTTTTCACCTACTTATTACTCAATTCACTCAATTACATCTATTAGACAAAGCACAATCACCCCTGTAACAATTCCATAAATAGTGGTGGCAGATGCATACAGCCTTAATGGAAAGGATAAACTTGGCATGCTAAGATAAAACTTGTAAAAGAAAGGTTTTGCACAAGCTGACTTTGATTTTTTTTATAAAACTGTTAACAGAACTGTCAGTCAGGACATAACTCATCCTTAGGCAAGGGTCCATTAAGAATAAAACACACCTAAGTGGAGCAGAACTGACAGCCTGAGCCCTTGTACGCCTCTTTCTGTCTTTAATTTACATACTGAAGACACAAACTGTGACTTTAATGACTATTTTAAGTTTGGAAATTTTCTGAGAGCATCCCAGGGGATTCTAGGAAATCCTGAATACTTACTACTAGATCCATCTGGTATCAACAGCACCCATCATGTCTGAAAATTAGACCTGGGCCTGAAGAAATGTGACACTTCCACTGAGACTGGAGATCTCCCTCCACCCAAGGTGCCATGCCTGATACTCCATGGAGTTTGCTTTATTATCTCCTTTTTTTCAATATTATTGTGCATTGAGGAGCTTTGCCTTTCAACACAGGGAGAGGCTCTCTGTGAGGAGTGCACACACAGACCTGACAGATCCATCAGGCTGACAGGTTGTCAGAAGCTCTGGGGATCAGCAAATATAAGAAGTACAACAAAATATACAAGAACCCTCTTAGTGAGCCTAGGCAAACACAAGATTTGAGCTCAATCCTTGCTGTCCCTAATCCTGGTGTCAGGGTTTTGGTCAGTATTTCTGTAGAGGGAAAAGCATGCAAAAGAGAGATGTGATCAGTATTCATGGAATCTTTTTATGCCTCTGGTGAGGCTGACCATCTCATGGAGAGGACAATGTGCTTGAAATTTTTTTTTTCCCCCCTTTACAGTGCCTGAAGTAACAAAGCCTCTGTTCTTACATTAACCTTGTAGATGCCACTGCTGCGTGATCTATGATTATTACCTTTAGCAGCAAAATATGATCATCAGAAAACACAGAGAAATATCCACACAAGTATACATTGCAAGAGTGGAAAGCAAGAAATGGCTGAAGGTAAGAAACAAATGGATTTCTACTGATTATTCCATTAAAATAATGACAAATTATAAATCCAAATAATTATCAGTACTATGATTATGCCATGAGAAACAAAGAGAGATAAATGAAAAATACCATCAACAATCCTATTTTATTCCTAGGCATTTATTCTGGAAATAGAAAATCTACCCAGGCTCACCACTGCGAATCAAAGAAGTATTTCAGGTACAATAAAACTCAACAATTTTCTTCTAACCCCAAATCAAGTCCCAGGGTAACTTTTGCAAAGCAGGGTATTCCTCAACCTATTATTTTTCATTCTACCTAAATTTCTGGATAAGACTAAAATACCCTGATTAAAGCTGTACTTGTGTATTTCCAGCTCAGTTGGAAATAGAGATCATGGGGAACCTGTGCTGCTGCCAAATTTGCAGCTCAGAGTCAGAAGTTCAGGTGAGAAGGATGGGTATCAAAACTACAGCATTTACTGTATTGAACAACCTGAAAATGTCAATCATAATTAGTTAAATTTAGTCACATATCCTAATCCAATTATTAAAAAAATTAGTAATTTGAATTCTGCTAGTAAGTTTTATAATTAAGTAGATTATATTACTTCTCCTTCTAGATGCATAATGTATCAATTATGCCCAAATAAGTGCCCTATGACATTGATTGGAATGAGGCATTTATGTTTTTTAAAGCATTATATACAGTAAGAGACTATAGCTATGGGAATGTGTGTGCAAACTATAGGAAAAAAATTATATATAAAAGATGTATCAGTTCCCCTGTAGCAGAGAAGCACAGGAAGGTTGTAACACTCCTGCAATAAAGAAAAAATCCACCTTCCTTTTTAATTCAAGTTCTAGGACAGAAAACATAGTATAGATCCAGAGAAGTGTGAATTAGGACAAACACAAGGCTAAGAATGATGCCTAAAACTTCAGCAAATTTGTCAAGTGCTTTGATTGAGGTTGAGAATATGAGTCCAAATGGGTATACAGGAAGCAATCATTTTTTCATGAAGAATACGTCCTTTACTGTGCACACAAATTCTTCCTTCAGAAGGCTGTAAATTACAGTATTTATGGAATCTTAATGATCTAAACACAGTTGGAGCCTGAAGGTCAAGGCTGCAAACTGCATCCTAAATTTCTGTTTACAGATGAAGCACAGTATTTATTGCTGTACTGCTTGTGCTGCTATAGTTAAAGGGCTGCCAGCATTTCCATTATAAACCACTATTTCAGAGGTTTATAACTTGCCTATCAATCTTCTGACTGGGATGAAACATGACATACAAGGTTCTGGCTGTGAGACTGATTTTTTTTGTTTGTTTTCTTTATCAAATGACAAAAAGAATAAGCTTAAAGTTTTACAAGCCAAAAAAAAAAAAAGGTGTATCAGTTTTTTCAAGTATTTCTAGTGTTGGGACACAATTATAGCTTTAGAATACAAAACACATCCACATAACTTCATCAACTAATAGAAGGACTTTCAATCCCTAAAAAATGAAAAATAATCTAAACAAGACTTATAGTTGGATGCTTTTTTATTTTTTAATTAAGCAAACGTACTTCAGATTTTAAATGTCAGCAAAGGACATCAGCAATCTAACAGTGTCCTTGATTCTGTTTATCTGGGTAGATTTACCATTAAAGGTAACAATTACACACCTTGGCACCGTCCAAAGGTTGCATTCTTTTTAAATGAACATCTAAATGATGATACACAAGGTGTCCTTTACTGTTGTATATTCCAGATGATGTCAGGTAAAATTATTCAGAGTAAAGTCAAAGCCAATGTTTTCTCCTAGACTTCGAAATCTTGTGCTGTTAAATCTTGTATCAAGTTTAATTAAACTGGAGGACAACATTTTCACTTTCACAGTGTCTGCTTTGCCAGTGTGAAAGTACTTTTGGTCTGTACTAAAATACTGTGGAGAGCAGGTGAAAAATTTCTTACATTATGTTTGCATATCTAGTAATTACATTTTGTTAAATAACAAACTTAATAATGCAAGCATTGCAAGAACTGAAATATTAGAAGACCTCCAAACCTTCTCCTTATAACCTTAAGTTTTGATATAATTTATTTTTACAAATAAAGAACAGGGCCAGATTCAACAATGTTGAATGTTGCTGTTGCAATGCAACACATACATATTAGAGTATTACTAAACAGTTTTATGGCTCCTTTGCAACACCATACCAGTTCAGACAAGACAGACAGCACTGCTAAACCTGGAATATTAGACTTTATCTAATCCCATTTTGGCTTATTTCTTTATGTTATAAATCCAATCACAGTAGGAAGGAAGTAAATTAGCCCCTCCCCAAATGTAATTATTCTATTTTCTTTATTACAGCTGTAGGGCTTTTATTCACTGACTTTATTCACTTTTGAGTTCCCCATAACCACTTTGCTTTTTTTTTTCCCCCCTTTGCCTTTGTTAAAAGATGATTGCATTTGTTTTACACCATTTCTATTAATTGGAAGAACCCCTCCTGTGGCTGGAGCTTTCTGCTTCCTTCCCCACCTCCACCACATCTGTTTGATGCCCACTTTACACGTTCACTTGAGTGAGACATTGGGTACTTTCTCCCATCAACTGAAATCAAGAGTTTTCAGTTTTCAAAGTAGAGTTTTGCTATTTTAGTTGGTTCTGGTGAAAAATAGAGACCTGCAGACTTCTTTCTTAGAAAGTAAAAGATGGGATGACTACGACATCTTAAAACCAACCTGGGTAGTGCAGCTGAATACATATCAGAGAGTAATTCCAAGCAGAGACAAGATGTTATGAACAGTGACTGACTCAGGCCTCCTCATTAACTGGAATGTACTGCCTTTAACTCGCTGAAACGCATCCAAGAACGCTGCTATATAATTAAATATGTTAAATAATGCTACGGAGTATCTTGTGTAATTCTGAATCTTCAATGAACTGTACAAAGTTTTAAATAAAATATAGGTGAAGCTTGTCAAGCAGTATTAGACTTCAAAATATTTTCTTCTTCTGAAAGCTTCCTGTACCATCTGACACACGTTTCTGCCACGCTGCCTGGGCTGCCATCACACCGTTCGTCTTGTTAGCAGCAATGTCATGACAGAAATGCTACAGTGCTGCATTCTAATGACCCCTTGCATTGTAATGAATTAATGTTTTCTGCAGAAAGGATGTGATAGGAAAAAAAAAAAACCACAACTTTATTTTTGGGTACTCACTGAGGTTTTCTTTTTGAAGACAGTTCTGCAAACCAAGCAGCAGTGAATACCATTTTAGCTCAGCTACAGAATGCGTGGAACACCATATACTGTACCTGTAAAGCCCTGGAGGAGCTTGATGAACCAGGAAGCTTTTCTCCAAGCCTTGCAGCACATCATTGAGCATCCTGACTCTGACAGGAGCTCGCTCCTCGGGGTCATTGGCCGGGCGCATCTCGTCCGACTGGAACAGCTCCGCCGTGTCCCTCAGACGTGCTGCCACTGCCAGCAGCTGAGGGACGCCTGCTTCATCACCTGGGCACAGGGACAGCAAGACAGTCACCAGTGATTCACACACCACTTATTACTCTTGCTTCCAAGTCAAAATTAATAGTCCAATTAAAACCTGAGCCTCTTTTTCCCCTGTGAGCAGCACGGAACGGGTCAAGGGAAGCCATAGATCATTCCGTGTAACCTCTGATCTGTTTCTCAAAGATCAATTTGGGCTCTGATGCTTTAAGATCTAATAAGTTGTGAGGAATGATTTTTGGGGTACAGCTTGAAATCTAGCATTGGAAAAACAGGCACACAGGAAGCAATGGTTATAAATCAGGAACTACAACATTTCCTTCTGAGACTGAATTTATTCAATGCCATTTGATGCTGTTGCTCTCGAGTCTGAAAGCCTGTGCTTGGATTCCATAATGACTGCTCTATAGAATATTTTAATATGCAGAGTTAATTGAATTTGATTCAACATTTTAGAATCTTAGAGGTTAACAGCAATTTTAGAGGGTATGTGAAATTGCTCCTCTTAATCACTTAAGTCATATGCCAATGAGCCGACTTTAATTGATATCCTAATGCATATTCTAATCCAGTCAATATTTTCAAAACCTTTTAAACTTGGAGTGTTAACTATTGCTTTGTTAGCAACCCCACTCAGACAGCAAAAGAATAAAAGCCTGCAGCACCTAGGTTCAGTACACCATGATTTCAGTATTTCCCTGTTCATAGACCAGAAGGAGAAGTGTGAATTGGAGCGGTGTGAATGTGCAGCCTCCTCCCACCTGCAGTGCAGGTGAAGAGTGTGGCCTCCTTTCCCAGTGTGTGCATGACCACTTTCATCTTTACAAGCACATGGAGACAGAAAGCAGAGCCTGAAGCTGATAGAAAGTCAAAAGCAGTATCAATCAGCACAAACATTTCCAGAGTGCAGAAATTATCTTTAAGGTTAAGATTTACTTGGCCTTTTGACAAGAAATCCAACTATCCTTAGATCTTTCAAATAATGCCTTAATCAACATAAACCATGCAGCTCTAGGAGCTGTCTCACCTCTGCCAGAATGTGGAAACCTCAAGGAGTTCTGTACCTTACTGACTGAGATAATTAAGCCAAGAAAGTGGTTCAGGACTCGAGTTCAATGAATTTTCAGCTTTATTGTTGAAGATACACATGGAAAAATCACAAATAGTAATTGGGGATCATTGACATGGCTGAACTTCAGCTGCCAAGGGAGTACCACCCACTGGCTTCCCTGGTGGAATGGGGAGAAGAATCAGTAAGTTAAAACCAATGGGCTGAGATTAGAACAGTTTAATAATTGATATATAATGATGATGATCGTAACCACAATAGTAATAACATAGCATCAAAAAGGGAGAAAACCTTTTTGATGAGAAAAAGGAGACATGAAACCCAAGACAGACAAGTGATGAGCAGTTTTATTGGGCTGACTGTGTTCAGCCTGGCCCCAGCAGCAATCAGCCTCCTTGGCCACCTCAGTTTAAACTGAGCATGATGTTCTCTGGTATGAAATACTCCTTTGGCCAGTTCAGGTCAGCTGTCCTGGCCATGCTCCCTCCCAGCTTCCTGTAACTCCTCTCTGGCAAAACATGGGAAGCTCAAAAGTCCTCAGGGTAAGCACTACTAAGCAACAACTGAAAAATCAGTGAGTTACCAATCTCCCCCTCATCTTAAATCCAAAACACAGTACCAGCTACCAGGAAGAAAATTAACTCTATTCTAGTTAAAATCAGGAGAAACACCAAGCCATTTCTCAAATTATTCATGGTTGGAGTCTGAAAGGTGAGCACATAATAGGAATGGAAAAGCAAACAGGTATAACTAAGAACTCCGAGGAAATGCCAGAATATAATATATTCTCCCTCTCATATGGAATAAGAGATTTGCTACTGGATACATTCCAGTGAAGGAAAAGGAGTTCATAGATCCCATATACTCCTGTCATTCAGCTGACTAGCACATTCCAAACTAGCAAAACATGAAATGATCCAGGATACATAGAGAGACAAGATGCTGGTGAGACAGAAGCTGTCAGATTTCCTGAGATATCAAGATGAATTTCAACAATGAGCCGCAGCTCCCTGGGAGAACAGGAGTGAGGGAAGATGGTTTATGTCTGCCCTGGTTTGGAACAAGGCTCCTTTGCTAATGACACTTGACCAATCCACCTTTCCCTAAGAAGAATGAGTAACAGGCGTGCTGGTATCTTGATATAAAGGGTTGGTATCTCTCTGAGCCTGCAGTAATTGAAATTCTGATCAAGCTAAGTTGATGCCTCAGAAAAATATTCCTCAAGCATATAAGCTTGTTACATTTAAGATATTTGCAAAATATCATTATCCTTAATTTTCAAATCTCTGGCAAACATCCTGTGCAGCTGAAGAACTTCCCATCCCCATGTGTGTAATGCAGGCACTGTGCACACCTTACCCTGGGACTTGTTTCCATATGGAAATGTTTAAATTCACCCTGTTAGAAAGAATCCTTTGGTTTCAGCAAAGCACTTTGTATTCCAAGTAATGTAAAACTTATAGTTTTTATTCTGAATCTTATATAAACAATTGCAAATGTCAGCTCTGCCTTTTCAGTAGGGAAGGTGAGATAAAGAGAAAATCCATCTTTCTGTACTTGGAATTGAAGCCAACCAGACCATCCTTTTAAACATGAAAAATCCTGTAAATGTTCTCACTTGTTCTCCACAGCCCCTAAACCAACTCTTGTTAGAAAACAAACACCCAGGCCCTTTTTTCATGCTTCACTACAAAACCTGCAAGTATGGGCAGCGTTACCTCAGCCAACTAAGGGCAGAACAGGCATCACATCACACCGGACTGCACCACCAAGGGAAACTGATTTATGCTTTTCTCAGGCTGAGAAGATGGGAATGGAAGGGCAAATGACTCTTCAAGAAAACCCTGCATTATCTAATGATGTCTTAAGGACCTTTGATGCTTTTGCAGAGAAAATTGAGCACAAGTGTTACCTCGTTTAAGAGAAAACAATGCCACATTATTATATTTTGTATTCTTTGTCCTTTCGTCTCCAGTGTGAATCATGATGAATCATCTAAGCTAGTTGTTTAGTTGCTATAAAAATAAAATTGCAAACACAGGAAAGTGACTCAAGAGCATGTGCACTCTTGATCAGGGAATTACACTGTTGAATTTCATTGCATTTGCTAAATGTAACTGGATCCTATTCAGAAACAAGTTACACCAAACAGATATTTTTACAGACACTGAATACAATAGCCTTTCCCCGTGTAACTGATTGCTCTTATGAAAAGCACAGCTAGAGATTTAACATTTTTAAATTGTGTATGTGCCCTCTGTTATGAAAGTACTTGCCTACAAATACTTACAGGAAAGGGAGCACAGACAAATCAGCATTTTAAGGCATGATGCTTGCTTACCATATATGTGAACATGTGCTTGCATGTAAGAGAGAAGGGAAATTGCTTCAGGTTTTGATTAGCTGGCAAATTCTGAATCAGCTATGATGTGCTGCTGTATTCACTAGGAACATTTTTCATGCTCTGCAAAATAGGATAAGCAGACCTGGCAGTAGAAAATCTGAATGGGAAAGCTTTACAGCAAGCACCCTAAAGGGGCAGAAGCACAAATCCAGACATCCTTAGTGCAAAGAACATGTTGCCATCAGCTTCAATTTTGCTACCATGACTGCTATAGTCCAAGTAAACTAATCTAGTGCTGCTCCAAGTCTTTTTGCAAAGAAGTTATGCTAAAGAGGAATGTTGTGACATTTTACTATGTGCAGCCCAATACAGGAGCCTGGAGAAGAGCAGGCTCCAAGGAGACTTTACTGTGCTCTTTCCATACTGAAAGGGGGCTTTACAAGAAAATTTAGGACAAACTTTTGAAATAGGATGAAGGGTAAGGGTTTTAAACCAAAGTATTAGATTTAGACTAGGTGTAAAGAAGAGAACTTTTACATTGAGGATGGTGGGTTACCCAGGGAGGTGGTGCATATCCCATCCTGGAAACATCCAGTGCCAGGCTTGATGAGGCTCTGAGCATCTTGATCTACTGGAAGATTTCCCTGCTCACTGCATTGGAATAAATGACCTTCAGAAGGTCTCTCCCAATGCAAGCTATTCTATGATTCTGTGAAGCTATCAGTGGCTTTGTACAGACCTGCTGAAACTTATGGCCTACTAACACAGAATAGATGCTCATCCTTGCCCTTCAGAACTAAATGTTTGTCCATGAAAATTGCATTTTTCCACGACTGTTTTTATTAAAGGCTGAAAAAAGTTACTAATACATAATAACCTTGAATGGATGCTGAAGACAAGATGCCAGTGCCTCATGACAAAAGAGGTATTTCTGTCTTATATACAGATTTGTTGCATTTTTCACCTCTGTAGCAGTCAAGGATAAAGGGTGGAAACAGTAAAGAGGGAAATTTTCTGAACAGTACAGACAGGAGGGGAGAGTAACTCTGAAAAGCACACAGAATGATCAGGGAAACACAGTCAAGAAGGTAAAATGATGCCAAGCTGAAGAGCAGCAGATAGCTGTAGGCAATGAGCATGCAGCCATCAAGTAAATGAGAGAGATATGTTTCTCTATTGATTTTTCTAAGGACAGAGAGTTTAGCCTGATGTTTTGAAATGTATGGGTAGAGATAGGCTGTGGAAAGTCACGCAGACTTCCCTGGGAACGACTTATCGTAAACCACATTATTTTAAACTTCTGCTAGTGCTGCCTACTATTATCACCCCAAGTACTTCAGCTGCTGTAACATCTGTAAAACATCCATTCTGGGGAGAAGAAAGGGCCTAACTGATAGGAACCCACACACAGCTGACACTGCGTCAGCCAAAGAGCTTTAAATCACGGCCCCTGCACTTCTGCAAAACCAGAAAATCTCATCCACCCTTAATTTGTCTTCATAAGCCTCTCCCTCTCAGCCAGTGCCTATCAGGGATGGCTACAATTTGCTCCAGCAGCCTGTGCTGACAGCCACAAGTGGGGATCTCACCTCGCCTGCCTGCTGCTGCACAGCCACAATTCAGGGCTGGGGCACAGACACCAATTCTGGAAGGTCTGCAGGAGCCCAAGTGACTGGCAGTAATAAATGACATCAGCTTCAACAGCACCCAAGCCAGGGACAGCAGCAAGCTGGCTGACTTCCTCTTTGTAAACTGGGTGGGTGTACTTGTTATTGCTGGGACAGTCAGGTGCAAAGGTACAGAAATGCTTTTAATCCTAATGAGACACCTGAGAATCTCCATCATCAACCCCTGAAACTTGCTGTAACATACACTAGATTTTAAAGACAGGCTACAGGAGGCACAGTGCTAAGAGCTTTCAGCAGAAAATACAAATATGGTCTGGATAAAAATGCTTGTATACATATAAAACACTTCTGTACAAGTGATTGTACCTTTTTACTTGCATATACATACAAAGCACTTCTACAGGACTGCTTAAAAGCATTATTTGTATCTTTCACACACCAGATTTGACATCTTGTCTGCACCCTACCTCAAAAGATAAATTGGATTTTCATAGGATACAAGGTTAAAATGGGTCTTGAATTTAAATGGAAGGCACAAATCCCACACAACTGCAAGGTGTGGCTAATGAGAATATTCTAAGCAGTCACTTATTTATGAACTTGTCTAAAATATCACATCTGTGAATAGACAGGCAACAGCCTGACTAGCCCTGCCTGGGGACCTGGATTTCAGTCTTGGAACCTCCGTCTCGATAATTTATGACAGAAGACCATCGTCAGAGGCAGAAAAAGAAATATCTCCAGCCCCAACCCTTCCTTTCAGATAAACCCAAAAGCAGTGGTTTGTTTCCAAGAGTCCTGGTGTGTGCAAGGGGAGAGAACACATGTCACTTGACAGCCTCCTACCCATCTTCCTGAGGAACACACCACGAGCCATGTGAGGGTGTTGGGGTGACAGAACCTGTCACCCACACTACCCTGAATGTATAAATGGTCTGTGAGGTGCTGAGTAATATCCCACAGAATTTAGCAGAGCTAATTGTACAGACACCACCACATTACAGAGTTAAATCCTCTAGAAATGAAAATAAAGGCAGTGTTAACAGGTATAGAGGTATACACAACCTTTTGTGAGCACATCCATGAGACTGCAAAATAGTGACTCAAATATTTAAACAAAATTTAACTTCAAGCATGTGAGAGAGTCCAAGGGGAAATACAATCTGTGTTCAAGGAATTGGCTGAACCAGACCCCAGAGGCACAAAATTAAGCCTAATGAACAAATGTTTTCCATGTCATGCAGGTTTACCTTTCACCCTTTCTACATTTACAGTTTTAAGCCATATAAAAAAGTACAACTTCTCATTTAAGTAACTGAAAAAGGACCATTGTCTTAATGTTTTCCAAAATGAACTGTTCTTTTATGCAAGCCAGAGACAGACAAAACATGAAAGCCATGAGAAAAATCATTAAACAAAACTCCAGAGTGAACAGCTGGGAGAAAATTTATCTTGCTGGCCCTACAGCCTAGGAAATAATTTTCTCTCCCCTGAAGTGGTAGAGATAAATGATATAACTGAAGTTAGATAAAAAAAAAGTCAATTTAAATCAACGTTTCCTGTTACTCAAAATAAAGAAAAAGGAAGAACAATAGAAGTAATCTCATGTTCAGTTGAAGGAATACCAGCTGAGCCACACTTTCCCTTTGATGATCATCCCCTGCTGTGTTTAGGCTGAACTAAACCAATGTTTAGTGGCAAAACAGAGCTAAAATTACTTGTCTTTTTAGGTGATTCCAGACCAATACTTGCCTACCGACTCCTACATCTTCACAATGATGGATGGCAAAGATTAAAGAAAGGGTATCAGACTTCTATGAGTATGTGTTACAGAAAAGTGTGCAGGGAGGGGATGAAATGGAGGGGTAGCACCTCAAGATTGCAAAAAGTCTTTACAGTTGAGATACGACCTCACAATCTGCTGAAGGATATGTGAAGTTTGGGTGTGATTTTATAGAACTTCTCTATTTAAGAGATCAACTTGAGAGTTTCATAAACCTAAAACCAGAAATATTTTTCAAAGGTCTTAGGACACTACAGGTAACCTAAATTGCTTAAATGACTAAGTAGCATCAGAAGAAATCTAAAAACTTTATGGCAACAAAACCTGAATTTTATTCAGCATTATATAATGACCCTATTTAACTAGTAAAATCACTACTATTCAATAATTGAAAATATGTATCAGGGATTAGATGATGCTTTTCCCCCCCTGTATTAATGGAGAACAATATTCCTCTAATGAAAATTACCTTTCAGACTGTTCTGAACTTCTAACGCGATGTCGAGGGCATTGAACGGCAAAACCGGATCAGTGGCAATTTGCAAAGTCACTTGTCCTGTTAGCTGAAAAATACAAAAAGACCCAAAACCCAGTCAAATTATTTCCAGTACATTTAATAACCAGCACTTCTTTTGGAACAACACATGTTTTAATTACATTGGATTTTCAGGGAAGTGTTATTAAAACCTCATAAGCACATATTTATGAGAAGAAATGTGACCAGGGCCATTGCCTTTCTATACAACATTTCAAAGTGTTCAGAGAATACTGTTTATGACCACACACAAGAATTCTGTGAAGTGTGCCTTCTCTGGGATGCTGCAGGATTCTCTGAAGGACATTTTTGCTTTGTTATCAAATAAAATATCTCAATATTCTGAACATGGGAATGAAGTTTACCGTTTTACTCAGTTCTCTGGTCTCAGCTATTGCATTTTGGAACTTTCCACAACTAAAATAAAGAATCAGAGACATTAATGATCAGAAGATCAAGCCTAGGGCTAAATGCAAGCTGACCTGGAAACCCACAGCCTTTTGAAGTGCAGTGTGACAACCGGATGCACGCGGATGTACAACCTCCAGACTGGACAGAACACTGCTTTCTCTCAGGAGCCCAGGGAAAGAAATTCCCCAAAGAGCCCCTCAGCCCACTCCAGACTAGACATCAGCACCTGTCACAAAATCTCAATGGCATGAATGCCTCTTTCTGAACAGCTCCCAGATAAGGCAGGGGCTGAGTGGCCTGAGAGCTTTTTCCTGCTTACAGAAGGTCAGTTCTCCAGCTCGAGGCTGAGACATGCTACAGGGGCTGTGTATAGAAATACATCTTTCTGCTGAACTACACCTAGCTGTGATTAAACAGAGGATTTCAGTCTCCAGGCTGCCAAGTCCATCACTGTTCATGGGAGCTATAAAAACACACTGACAAAAACATGCAAGAAACTTTCATTCATCTTCTTTATATCTTGATATTGCAAAAAGGGAAAAAATACCTGTAAGGCTGTGCTGTAAAATGGGATGGCTTCAGGTGCTGGTGACCGTGTTGATAAAAATGTGGACTGAATAGAATCGTATTGTACAATTCTTCCCAAGGTGTTGGGGGGGGTGGAAAGAATAATATCTATCCTTCAAAAGCAATATGATAGTCTCTGTGCCAAAAATAACATTTTAATTTTACAATAGAAAGTAGCAGGAAAAGACAACAAGCCTCAGTAATATTAAAAACAACAGTACAGCGATTGAAAAGGAAAACCATCTCCCAGGAAAGTGGATGAAAGCAGGGAAATATCAGAAATACAAGTTTCCTTGAGAAAGATTAATGGAACCTCACAACATTTCTCAGAAAGCACAGAAGAAATGACCTGGCCACAAACTGGTTTGGGTACAGAGACTGAGGGAATATTCTGTATTCTGCTGTGAAGCTATGGAGATTCACCTCTAGAGAAAACTGTATCACAGAAGGCACCAAGAAAAAAAACAAACTGCCTTATATAGAGATAAAAATATATAGGAAGGAATAATGTTATGTCAGGTCATTATCAGGAAAAGACAAAGAACTAAGAGTGAACTTTAAAAATACTGTCTGGAGAGCTATGTTAAAGTATTCCACAGTAACTTCTTATGAAGAAACTTCCCAATTCCTCAGGCCATCAATGCTGAAAGACCATTACATTATCTATCTGATTATTCACAAAAAGTGTCTGGAAAGCATTAAGAGGCATAGATTTTTTTATGATTATTGAAAAATATTATTTTTTTTAAAACAGAGATATGAGAGAGGTATTATGGAAAGACAAAAAATGAAACTGTTAGGGCAAACTAAAACATGTACAAGACTGTACCTAAACCAGCCATAAGCAACTGTGAAAAATCTGGTTCTAAATATCCAAATACACAAAATCCTTCCGTGTCCTGCGTGGAACTCGTGTGAGACACACTGCCCAGAACATGAGCAACCTGTGACTTGCTACAGATCAGCAACTGTGACACTGAAATAACTTCCTAATAAAAAGAAGGGATTCCACATGGAGCCCACACCCACTGAACCCCAGGACAGCACAGAAAACACTTAAATTCCTCCTTGACAGCCCATTTTTGCTAAAACTTTCACTTCATGGTAATACAGCTACAAATTCCTAGGTGTTTTAGGAAGGGACACCAACAGTTACGCGTTGTTGCTGATACAATCTGTTACCACAGGGTTTAAGAACACAAAAGCAAAGAAAAAAAAGTTTTTTTTATGAAACAGGGATGTGGCATTTAAAGAGGACAATACCCTAGTAAGAAACTTTCCTTTTTATCATCATCTTCTGCAGAACCTGGTGTCGTTTTCATAAATTCTTGTCTTATTTCTGTTTCTTCCAAAGAGTTTTAGTTTGCTTTCGACTATAGCAGACCAAATGTTTTCTTTTTCCTGCTTAAATAAAGTGATACCATCCAAATCTTATGACTGACTGAAGCACTTTCAGAAATTTTATAGTCCCTGTCTAACACTGCAGACATCTGTGTGTTAGCAAACAGGTAGTGGTGGTGTTTATTAAATCACGTACTTCCTGGGCTAATCTGGAAGAAATCAATCATGTAAAGGAAAGCTCAGAGCATTGATTTGAACAGAGTAAGTAATAATGCTGCAGAAGCATATATCAAACCCACATAAAGCAGCCAGACAGAAAAGGCTACCAATTTCTTATTTATAGTCTTATTTTTGGATATACCATTCCCCTGAGCGCAACACTGAATACACATGGAAAATAAAGACAAGCTTTGGCCCCCTTTTCCCAGGTGAAGAATGCATCAGACTGACTACTGAATTATTAAATGCAAGCATAGTTTAGCAAAGAGCAAAGACAATAATTTTCTCATGAAGTGAAAAGCTAAAGCAGCATGATTGATTCTATTCCCATTCTGAAGTGGTTAAAACACTAATGACAACTTCTCAAATAGAATTCATACATAATACACAAACAATACACACAATAACTGATGTAACATTTATGTGATTATCAAGTCTAAGAAAAGATCTTAGAGTTCAAATGCTAATTCATCCTAAAATGATTTTCTTACTTTAAAAAGAAAAAAATAATGACTAACACTTGCACTGCACTTGGCTGTGGGAAAGGTGCTTTTCAGTAAATGAAAATTTATTTGATGAACTTCCAATTACTTTAAAAATAGGTATTGATATAGAATGTAACTATAACTGTAGAGTTATATTGTATTTGTTCTCTAAGAGGGTGGGGAAGCCCTGGCTGCCCCATCTCTGGAAGTGTCCAAGGACAGGTTGAACTTGGCTTGGAGCAACCTGGGATAGTGGAAGGTGTCCCCTGCCCATGGCAAAGCTCCAAGAGGAGTTTTAAGGTCCCAACTCAAACCATTCTGTGATTCTATGCATACTGCAAAACAAATCTGAATATTTAAAATGGGTTTGTGCCAAAGTAACATTATTTCGAGGTCTTTTTAAAGCATCTTTGTAGGAAGGAAATAACTGCTTTTACTTCTCTGACACTGTGTAGATCCCAAAAGATAAAAAGAAAAACCACAAACTTCCAAAAAATCCTGGTGTGAAAGATGATTCAGCATCACGTGACATTTCCAAATGCTGGTGTAGCTTATTTTCTGTTCCAGGGTTTTACAAACTATTCCATCAGGAACTATGTACTCTTCCAATTCTACCTATCTATGAGCCTAATTTGACTATAAAAGCCAATTTTCAGGAACATCAGTTAGATCCACAACACCTAAAGGTCTATGACATAAAAAGAAATACCTGGATTAAACACACACAATATGTTCCTCTATATAAATGATAAATATACTTTACCATTTTAGTTGTTTTACAATGCAAATAAGGAAAGGAAATTAAGTGAAATTTGGGGGGATTCATCACAGGTTTGGTTGGGGTTTTTTTTTGTATGTCACAGCTGTTTTCTCAGGGAGTTAAACTCTGTGTTCAAGACAACTTTCTTCCTCAAATATCCAAGCTGCCTACCAGCAACATAAAGCAAGTCTACTGGCATACAAATTTAATTGTTTTTTTTTTAAATATGAATACTTTAAGCCCAGGCTAGATAAATGTGAAAGGCTCCCCACAGTCTCTCTCACACAGATTCAGTTTTGCTCTTGGGGCATGCTGTTACTGAGCCTGCCTCGCAGGGACAGCCCAAAGTGCTGTCTGGTTTTTCTGACAAGGCAGCCACAGCCACCCATCCTCCATTCTGCCACAGCAGCAGAAACCTGCAAGATGAATAAAATTAAAATGTATTTAGTGGATATGAAGATATGAAAATATTATGCGTGAGAGAGATCAATCTGCTAGAATAAACATCAGCATGAGGTGTGCAGGCAGTTTCTTTAACACAGAAGTTTACACACAGTCTTGGGGTTTTTGGGTGTTTTTTGTTTAGTGAAATTTGAAACTGTGCTGTATCCATCCTGTGCTATGCAAGCCTCAGTGGGTGGAAGTGCTGAGCCTTTAGGACATTTTTAGTTACATTAGGAGAGTTAAAATCTAAACAGACATCTCAGATCTCTTCATATGCCAAGTTACAAACAACATAACTTAAAAAATCAGGTAAACTGCCATGTTTATCCTTCTGTAAACACTGTCTTCAGCAATGCCATACTCCAGTTTTACCTGCTGGAAAGAATTATGCTCAGCTACTTGAAACCAGCAGCAACTCCTTTGCATTTCAAGCCTTATGCCACTGCAACATACTTTTACAATTTTATTCTACGCATGTTAACAACACTGTACTGACATCTGTGCACTTCCTGAGGAAACCAGCACACACATGGCATCCAATCCACCAAAACCATGACAAACCCTGTGAGATGGGAGGTAATTTAACATGGTAGTGAGGTAGAGCTGAGGTAGTCTCAGCTACAGACTCAGCATCCCCCTGTCCCTATGACTGCCTACAACAGACCCAAACAATCCTTGGGGCTGAGCAGCTCTGAGCCTCATCTTCCTTTGATATCAGCTTTATTTTTTCCAAGCCACATTTGCCCTTACACCTGGCACCTCTCCCTTCCTGCATTACCCCTGGGGTTCATGGAGGAGGAA